TTTTTTTTTTTTTTTTGGATGCCCCCTTGTCCCTGCCTCTGTGCAGTCACAGGGACTGTGATATGTAAAATTAACTGTCAGGAAAAATGCCTTCATGTTAATCCCTTTCTGGAGCAGCCAGCAATATTCCTCCCGGCATGGCAGCCTGCCAGCCACAAGCAGGAGACGAGGCTCCCCTGCCTACCTTTTTTAAAAGCTTGGCACAACCTCTGGAAACTAATAAACTGGAAAAGTATGGCAATTAGGCTAAGAAGAGTTGAAGCTGTATCATTGTTTGAACTCACTCGTAGCAGGGCTTGAAAAAACAAAGGTTGACCTAAGGCAGCTGAAATTGCAGCTGAGCAGGGTTTATCAAAGAGAGGTACAACTGTAATAACAGAAAAGAAATGCCAGGCTGGAGCAGGCTCTGCTACCATGCACAGAAACGCTTTGAGGGGCTGCAGCATCGTTTGGGGTTTAATGTCACAGCTGAGATTTACTCCTGGAAATCTGGTGGTGACCAAGAGTTGTTTAGGGAGCTGCAGGTAATKGCTTCAGCATCATTTTAATCCTCACAGTCTCCAAAGACCATGGTTTGTCTCCATTTTTGGCAGTTTCCAGCACAAACTGCCGGCCAGGAAATCTACTGGCATGAATCCTGAGGGGGAGGTTGTCCTGGATGAACACAGAGGGCAGGGTCACCCTCAAAACCATAAATTCACCAAAAGGGCAGCTCTGAGGCTCAAAATTCATGGCTTTCACAGAGGGAAGACCAGGCAAATTAAGGATGATATGTGATACTGGCAGATGTGCCAATTACTGCAAACTCACCAACAGATCCACACAAACCTGAGGCTCAGCCTGGGAAAGGCGTGTGACCATTTTTTAACAGGGACCAACAAAAGTCTGGGGATTAATATTTTTCTCTCACCCTTGGTGGTCTGRGTAATTGCACACATGCAGCAGATTGTAAATTGGAGCCTTCATTCCCTCACTAAAATGCTGCTGGGTACCCAGGAACCCTCCCCAGTAAGCGAAAGCCATGGATCAACTTAATGAGAAGCTAAAAATGGGGTAAACTCAGTTTTTTGGCAGTGCTGCCCCAGATAAAGCAGGACGGTGAAAAACTAATGCAGCACAGATGTGCACGGACTGGAGGAACATCCTGAAAAGAAAACAACTTTTAMAGATATCRAGCCCTTCTCTTGCCTTGCACTCCTGGATAACCATCCACACGGGAYGTGTGCCATCCCCAGGTGATGGGCACAGCTCCCAGGGACTGCCACACACATTTTAAAAAGATGGTCCCWAGAGAGAAGCCAATATCAAACTTTTCTGTCTGTGAGTGCTTTTTCCAGACCTTCAATTGTCAAAGTCTGAAATGAATGTTTCATTTTATTGTTATAGTAAGGTAGCACCAGCAATCCAATTAGCCTGTAATTACTTTTAGAGCTTTTTTAGCCACTTGCTTTGGGTGTAGCACTCTCTCTGCTAATCACATGGCAGCGTATCACCTTCAACKGCAAAACAACCAGCTAATCCAGCTGTGTAACTTAGATGGCCTAGGAAATTAATTTTATGAGGAATTTTTCAGAGCTTTCAGGACCTATCCGGTGTGGGGACACGGGAGCACAGTGGAGGGGAGTGTCACCTTCCCCTGGACCACCAACATCAAACCAGCCACCTTCCAGCCAGGAGAGACCTGAGAGTGCACAGCCCAAAGGGCACGAGCCTCTCCAGGGTCATCTGCATGGAAATCTGCCTGAAGCCAGTAAACACCCAGATATTAAAACCAAATGCATATCCTCTCACATCCCGATGGAAGCAAAGGTCTCACCTCTGCCGTATGCTTAACAAACTCTCTGGGTGTCCTCGAGCCACTAAAAACATGACCTGGACCTTTTTACCCCGGGCCAGGCTGCCTGTGATGCCACATAAAGTGAGGGTGTGGAATTTTGGCTGCTTTACCCCAAAAGCTGGCTCCTTGGAAGTCCTCAGAGCCACTGCCCTGCCTTCCAAAGGCGAATGATGGGAGCAAAAGGAGCGCAGTCAGTGCTTTGTGGATTTGGAAGGAATTCCTATTATGCTACAGTAATTCTGGTATCTGGGTTACATCTGAAAAAAGGAGGTCAGGCTGACTTGAATTTTCCATGCAGGCTGCCATAGCAAAGAAATCTGTTGCTTCAGTTCCTCRTCAGCCATTTGTGTCACTCAACAGCAAATAACCCAGCTTTTGCATTTACCTTATTAAGTTACATTTGTTGTGGGCACGGCGAAAGCGGGGGCAGAAACATCCAATTCTTTGGGGATTTTCTTTCTCTTTTAATTGACCTGCTATTTTGTGGTAGAGAGCTGATGGATCACATAGGCAGCTGACTGTGTTTCCAGTTTCTGTTCCAACTCCTGTATTTGCCACTGCCTCATTAGGGATCAGAAGCACTCTCTGCATGGAGCTGGCATGCCAATAGCTCCGGCAGTAATGCGAAAATGAGGGGCTTTTTCATTTCATTTTTATGGCTTTTCCATGCTCAGGGGGTCAATCACCTGCAGGGTGGAATTCTGTCCTGTTTAGAGAATTGGGGGCCTGGCAGTTTTTGGGCTTGTTTTGGAGAAGGTGGGGGCAGAGGGACAGGGCAGTTTTGGGGACCTGCTTTGCTGAGTGAGTCTATGTGGTCAGGAAATGTTGGAGATGTTCACATCATGAAGCACTACGGCTGAGAATGGACCCTGTGCCATCCTAAAATATCTTTTGCCAATACCATTGCTCCTGTGAGGAAACACGAAAGGAGAACAAGTGCTCCTGAGCTCTCCATCTCAGCTGAAGGAGCAACAGGAAGGCAGCATCRCTGGGAAAGCACCTGAGCTGTTCTGGCGGCAGGTGAGAAGGAAAATGTAGGTGCTTTTCCTGGGGGAATTTCAGGAGAACAACCAGGACACAGCTCTTGTCTTCTGCCCCAGCACCAGGCACACGCTGGCATAAGGAGGCTCAACTCACGGGCCGAGTTCAGCTTTTTGGCTGACAAATAAAGCTCTTGCCATGCAATCCTTTCCTAGCACAGCTCTAGGAGAACTGGCAGAAAAAGGAAAATGAAGAGGCATTGGGAAGGTGGGGCATTAACTATTTTTTTACAGCGAGGACTCAGGGAATGTGCTCCCCGTGGAAGGTTTTAATTGTCTTTTAAAAACGGCTGTAATGTGCAATCTCTTAAAAACCTAATGCTAACCTGTTAAATTTTCCAGGCACTGGTTAGCTGAAAAGATGTATCCTTTCTTTGTTTTTTGAACCTCATAAAATAGGCAAATACCAAGAGTTATTTGAATAGGGACAAACCATGCCAAGTCCTTACTGACACTCAAGTGTTTTTGCCTCTACTCTGAACTCCTGCTGGAGGGTGAAAAAGTCCTCGTGGAGCTCACAGACTTGCCCAAACAGCTTTGGGCCTGTTTACAGGTTTCCAGACTAATCTCATTCCTCTCATTACAAGCTTTCRTTTATAAATGTTTGCTACTCCACGCTTACAAAAGTCAAACAATGACAGAGGAGATGTGCACTGGGAATAGATAGCCCTGGCCAGGTTTGCAAGACAAAGAGATGCCATAAACTCCTCCAGGACAGAGGAGGGCGTTCTGGAGGTGGCACTCACTGGGAACAGATAGCCCTGGCCACGTTTGCAAGACAAAGAGATGCCAAAAACTCCTCCAGGACAGAGGAGGGTGTTCTGGAGGTGGCACTCACCGCGAGGATGGCGATGAGGATGCCCGCAGCACACAGCACCGCGTCGTTGATGGTCTCCACGTTCTTCTGCGGGTACCTGATGCTGTCGTCGTCGCAGTAGAAGCCCCTCTGGTAGGGCTGGATTGTGCTTGTCTCGATGATGAGGAAGGGCAACCCGGCTGCAGAGAAGGGGACACAGCAACCAAACCCRTCAGCAACAGAGGMAAACACAAGCAGCTCACAAAAAAACCCAAAGACTCAACCTGAAAACCCCACACCATCACCATGCCCGGTGCTTTTCTTTCCATATCTCTGTCTTTCCAAAGGGAATAGCRTTGGGATTTGTTTTTCCAGGCTGGTCTTGCAGGGAGAAAGCCTCTCCTCTGTTATGGTTATCAGATGTCTGCACGGCCTGGTTCCAGTTAAGCCCTGTGCGCTGCAAATATTAACTTACAGGAACAGACCCCTGGAGCAATCCCTCTGCACAAGGCCATGAAAACCAATCTGGCACTTTTCTCCGGGGAGGGAGCGATGCTCTTCCGAGTGCCCTGGGCAGAGCAGCCCGGAGCTGTGCAAACAAACACGGCGGGATTGAGTATCCGTAGGGCTTCCCTCCTACCTGGCCAGCTCAGCTGCTCCCCATCCCCGTGGCTTTTGTGCCTTTGAAACCCTCCTTGGCTCACTCCTTCCTGTATTTACAGGGTGTATGGACAGTTTTCTGAGTGTTTATATCTTCTAATGCAACAGCCATGAGATTTGAGCAATTCGTCCATGCAAGGACCAGCCCATCCACGAGAGGCRATGAACTCCCATCAGAGCCTGTTCACCTTCAGCCCATGAAACCATGTGAAATCTGGGGTTTAAATACTATCTGTGAGCCCTCTTGTGAGACACTCCTGTGTCTTTGCACCAGGCATGGAGCAGATCTGCTCAAGAATATGGTTCGGGACACACAGCATGGAGGGAATGCCTGGAAATTGCAGCATGTCTGTTAACCCCATGTTTTTATGGGTTTTTCAGAGAAATACAACACTGCCTCAAACCTAGAAGGGTGTATCCCAGCCACAGTGGGCAGGGCACTGTCCTTCCCTTTGCCTCACTTTCCCCATCCATCTTTGCTGTTAAGCCCATCACCGAGAGGAGCACGACGTCCCCACAAAACCAAGCCCCAAATTCCCTGAAACCCACGTTCRGAGTAAATCACAAACCACAGGCTACAGGAAACCCTCCTCCCACTGGCAGAGCGAAACCCAGGTAAGGGGAAAAACAAATACACAGTGGTTCCAGCTGTCCATGGGSCAAGACAACAGGTCTCACACCCAGATCCTACAGAGAGCATTAGGGAATACTCGCCGACCACTAACTTGCTTAAGTATCTGTGGGTTTGTTTACACAGCTAGGAGTCAAAGACATCAGAGGGTTTTTCCTTCTAAAATGAATAAAAAAAAAATAAAAAATGAAGCGCTCTTGGGTCTGACCCAGAGTTGTCCACAGTAGATTTGTACCGGGCACCATCTGCTAGATGTGATCAGCAAGGGCATTGTCCAGGCTGTTCAAAAGTGTCATCAAAATGATGTTCCCCGTGTTCTCCACATGAACCACTCTCTGGATTTCGCTTTGCGCAATCCACTTTGGCTCCTTTTCCTGTATGTTAATGGGTTTGCCTGACCCAGGATAGCTACAGGGTTTTGTTARTCTTAAAAGAAAACTCCATCACCTGTGAGCAGGGACAACCACACAGACGTGAAGCTTTTCAGGTACCCAAGAGTGGCCAAGGCCASTGCTCAGGACCCCTTTCAGATCCTCTCTAAAAACTCTGGAAATGGGATAATTGCAAGTTCTGGGCCTCGAGCTGCTTGGCAAGGCGGGACAGTTTCCACCACATGTGTGAACCAGCGATGAACAGTTTCAGAACTGCCCGCCGAGCTCAGATTTGGTAAATAAACTCGGACATCTCGTGTGAATCCCGTTGATCTTCATTCCACGATTTAACAGTTCTAATGCCTAGCCAGCTTGGCCCCAAAATCCTGCCTCTGATGCCAGCAATCCCCTTTTAATAGGCCACTTAAAAACTCTTTAGGTTTCCCGAGGAGAAATGGCAGGGGGAGAAGCGCTAACGTTGCCGGGCACGATCCGGTTTCGCGCGCGGGGTTGAACTCGGGGAGCAGACACACCACGGTTACGTGGCTCATTTTTATTCCTCCAGTTCCTCTTGTTAATGGCTTTCACATGACAGGTCTGTAAAACACATGTTCCCACAGACAATAAAATACATCTGAAAGCTAAAACCAGCCCTAAAAAAAAAAAAAAAAAAAAAAAAAAAATAAAAAAAAAAAAAAAAAAAAAAATCCCCCAAAAAATTAAAAAAGACAATAGCGTTCCTATATATTCTGTGAACCCAGGAATAATAAAGATTTGTTTCCCCTTCATTCATGGAGCAGCATGGGGTAGTATTTCCGTGTTTCAATTATATGTACACTTGCCACAGCTATAATAAGAGTGTAAGTGACCTATATGGGACACATTTTCATAAAGCACATAGGCATAGTTTGGAAAATCCAATGGGTTTGTTTTCTCTCCTACAAACTTGTGGTTTAGTGGGATATTGCCAATCAAGTCTTGATATTTTTCCAGCAAAACACTAACCTCAGATTCCCTCTTTTTTTTTTTTCCCTTCCCCCTTTTTTTTTTAACACGAGAAACATAAACACACTCCCTATAACTGAGCAAATATTACTCAGAAGACATAACATGGCCTCGATTTTGAGGGYGGGGTGAGAGGCTGCTGTTTCACCCAAGGAATGGAAGACCCCAGCCCATGACAAACAGTAAATTGTATTCAAGATGGCTCATCCTCCACGAGGTTATTTCTTGGGGGACGGGTTTTCTAAGGGACTAGGTCACCACCAACATTTTTTTTGGCAAGAGAGAAATCTGTAGTGGTGCCAAAAGGCCGCCAAAGTATGGGCTTTGCAGAAAAAAACCCTACAGAGGGAAATCTGGGAGAAGACAGAAAATTAAATGCAGGGAGAGATGCCTTTGGGATCCCTCAGCAAAACACCACAGAGACATTATTCTCACTGGGAGATCTGCCTGAGGCAAAAGGATCCCAAAGTGGGGCTTACAGCCCACACACCTTGGAAATGGAAGGCAAGAGGCACAGGGCTGTGCTGTGAGGATGGAACATCTGGCCTCATCACCTCTCCTGCCCCAGTCTGCCTCTCTGACTCAGCATTTTAACAGGAATTCAGGTCATGCACCRCTGGCTGCTGTGATGTGGATCCACAGATTCAGCAGCTGAACCCCCATAAAGGTGTTAATTCTTCAGYTTCCACCATTTCCCATCCCTACACGGGGCACTAAACTGTTGAGAACATGAGGGGTTCATTTCAGAAAACAGTGACGTGCACTGCAATGAAYGACAGATGTACAGGGCAGGCAAAAAAATTACACTGATTTTGAGGRTGGTCACTTTTGTCCAAAAATAGTCCTATCTGGTCATTTTGTCTGTAGCTACAACTCACCTATGTGCACAGACTGACTGCAAAATCTTTGGGAACAGTGCAGAAGAGCCTCACATCCTCCTAAATACCGGTGTCTTCATGCTGRGAAATGGCACAGCAGCCTGTGGACCGTGTCCTGAAGAGACAGCACTGGCACATCCAAATGGACCTGTGCCACCAGAGAAAGGGCTGCTAGCCCCATCTCACAGGAAACTACAGCATAAAACAAAGGGATTTGCTTCTTCCAACACAGAGAAATTACAGTACAGAGGAGCTGCAGTTACCTTCTGAACTGCAACATCCTTCACAAGGTGAAGGAAAGTTTTTTTTTTCCTTGAACGATGGGGAATTCTTGCTTTAATAACAGAACAAGGAAATCCCAACCAACCACAAGCTTTCATCCAGCTATGCTGTAGGAGATCAAACACAGCTCCAAACCGTGAGCATAATGGAAATCTCTCGGGGAATGGTCTTACCCCATCCAAATGGGCCCAGCCCCTCTCTGAGCAGCACGGAGCAGGTGTGGACACTCAGGAATTGTGTGAGGCTCCACGGGAYGCTGCAGGGCTGGACATTGAAAAATGATGTTGCTTTTGTTGGGAGGAAGTCCAAGTGACTCGGTGACCCCGAACCGCTGGTGTCCTACGCTAAGGTATTTCAGAGCAGGGTTTAAATTTATTTGTCTTTCCGTTTAATAAAGCAAATCCAGTTTGGGAATCGAGCACCAAGGAAAAAATATTCCTTTCTCTGGTCAGTAGCTTTGTTAAGAGGCAGTTAATGGGCAATAATCCTGGGAAGGCTGGCAGCATGAAAGCTAAAACCCCACCACCAAGCCTAAACAAAACCCCCGTGTACTCTCTGACCGGCTTGAAAATGTGCATAAAAATCAAAGGCAGGAGAAAAAAAGGGCTCTGTGTTGGGWACAGCACTTTGAATCTCAGAGTCTTTGAAAAGTTAACAGTTGTGCAGATTTAATGGGGGAAAAGAAATTAAAAAGGGGATAAGTTTTCATTGGCCACTCATCAAAAAGCGGAGGGAGCGGAAGGCAAGAGGCATTTGCACGGTGATCCACCCATGCCACTCTCATCTTCCCAGCCCAGCCTTCACCTTTGCACCAAATTAAACACCATCCCCACCTTCTTCTTTTTAAATGTCTGGTTTTCATGGAGTTCAGGGTTTTTTTTTTTCCATTAAATTTCTGTTCTTTCAACCCTGAAGGTCAGTGGGATGTTGCTGGCTATCTCAGCAAAGCAATGGTAATTTCTAACAAATATTCCATGGTGCTTTATCCTGCCACTGTGCAGGCCCTGGGTGTTCTTAGGGTTTCAGCAGATTACACATCTACCTTAATAAGTGAAAAGGACCATTAATTAATTTGGCAGGGCTGAGTGGGGTATCTAATTCCTCACTCAAGTCACACTCTGTAAATATTTGGGTACCTGCAGGAGACAGGCTTTCTGTTTGAAGTACTTAGTGGCTGATCTTGGGTACATATAAACTTTATTTGGTTTACAATATTTGGACATATTTAAAAATGCGTATAAACTAGATTAGCCTACGGTAGGCTTTTATTGGGGTTTTAAAAGTTGGCTTCCCAAAACTTTCAGGGAAGGATTGCAGCACTGCAAGGCCAGCCTTGGCAACTGCTGCAAGGGTGAGCAAYCCTTGAAGCCAAC